TATGCGATATTTTGTTCTAAAAGTATAAGATAACTACCCTTAGAGAAGCAGAACATATGCTAAATATAAATCCTGACTACTTACACAGTACTAACTTCTGTCTAGCATTGAAGCTCAGAGATTTAAAAGACAACTTCAAAACACTAGAATGCATATATTTCTCTCTCTTGAAATCTCTTTCATATTTGGACATATTTTATAAGCTGATGAAACATTTAGTACCTTCTTCACAACAAAATACAGTATTTTAAAAGTTTCATACAGAATAAGAACTCTTGCAGCATCAAAAACTTCATGCATTACTCACAAATGCAAGACTGGTAAACTCATTAAACAAGTATGTTCGGAACTATTAATTTAGGCAGTGTTGCCTTATATAGTCATCAAGGCCAGAAAACAGATGATACGGAGCAAGAAGAATTGTTGCCAGTTACTTTAGACTGGAAAATATGAGAACAAAATCTTATGCTAGCTGCCAGTTAATTCCTCTTTTCTTCTAACAAAAATATTGAAGAAAAGCTCTCCTTGTCTGCAGCCACTTGCTCTCTAGTAAGAGGACAGAACTTGCTTATTGCTATAACAAGCGTTATTTTACATTTTGCTACAGAACTTAAAAAAATAAACACCACGAAGATACACCGCAGTGGGGAGAGAAGTCTGCTTGCAGAAACTAAACATCGATGTGTAACTGTCAGAATTAAGGAATAACTAGATTCAAACATACATATTTTGAACAATCCACCCTTAAGTTTGTTCGGACCTTGACCACTAACTAGCTTGGTTTTTAAATGAAAGGAGGCTGAAAAATACTTTTAATATTTTTGTAACTGAATACTTTTGGGGAGGGGTTGACTTTTTAGTTTTCATATTCCACTCCTCATCCTTTTTTGTCCCACTAAGTCAACCAGAGCCCTAATAAAGTGGCATGGGGGTAGGAGTACAGACAAAATCACTCTCAAAGTCTTTCCCAAAGTGACATGTTCAGAAAGCTACTGACCACAAATGAAAGGTGTTTCATTTGATGTATTTTCAGTTTACTATCTCAGGTCCAAGTTGTCTGAGGTAAACGCTTAGCAAGTGCACAGCAGTTAGCATGTGTCAGGGACAGAAAGGACTGGGCACAGGTTCTGGAGCTAAAAGCCGACTGGAGAGGTATCTGGGAATACCACAAGTTAAAGGTTCAGACAAATACTACCAGAGCATAATGCTGGGAGCGGGAAGCACAGGAAGTGTTGGCAACTGCTTATGAGCAGCCCTGCTGCTGATCTCTCCCTCCCTACGCCCTGCCAGCTTTCCTACCTCTCCCTAGAAAGCAACACAGAAGCAGGAGCTGCAGGGGTACCCCAGGAGAACAGCCCAGACGTGCTGCATCAGGTCATGGCTCCAGCACCCAGTGTGTCAGAACAGCTTCTGCCCAAGGACTGTACACTGGCTTCTTTCGCAGGGAATACAAAACAGAACTGAGAGACAACAAGAATCACATCTACAACACAAAGGTCATCCCTGTAGAAGAAAATGTGAAGCCTGTGTCCACACAGCTGAACTCTTCTCCCTGCTCCTCTAAAACACAGTGTTTGCATTTAACTTGTTTCTTGGATGATCCCTGTAATGAGCTGTGCACTGTACTGACTCTGGAAATTGTTTGGGAGAGCACTAAATAGCAAAATAATATCAGAGAGTATGCTAACAATTACACAGTGCAGACTACCATAAGGCAGTGTTCAATCCTTGTCAGGGCCCTGCGTAGTCTGTTAGCATAAACATGAACATTAACAGATGCCCTACACTCATACTGCTCAGCCAGAGGGTAAAAATGAGACAAAACTTACCCAGGCATCTCCTAACGTTTAAACTCGCTTCAAAGAACTGTGTGGAAATCCAAACTTGGTTCATCCCAATGTACCTCCCCAACCCTTCCCAAATAAGACATTTTATCAGTTTTGCATGAGCTACTTCACTTTTACAAAACCCCTCTAAATTATCCACAAAACAGTTCCAAATTCTTGCGTGTTTTACGAAGATTTAAGTCTACGTTCCCTCTACCCAAGCACACATGGTTTCTCTAGACAGATGAAACAAGCCACATAAATGATGCAAGGAACACCATAAGTTTTTCCTAGGCCATACATAAACACTCATACAAACATATCTTTTCAACAAGTTAGGAAAAATTTATCATAGGACAGTTGTTCAAAAGAATTGTGTTACAAGAATCTGATTTCATTGAAGAAAATAACAACATACCTTCTAAAGCCACTGAAGTAAAGAATTCACTCCCACCCCTCAAACCTTGAAAACCAGATCAACCTTTTAGAGTTGCAGACTGCTGAGGAAACCAAGATGATCAATCTGAGACTGTTTCAAAGTGCCTAAACCCATATACTTGTAATTTATGGCCTAGCATTGTCTGAAACTGTTAAATCTGGACATCACAAGTTTTCCTGTTTAATTAGAACATATCCAAGAAACAAGAGCTTCCAATGGAAAACAGACTTCCAACTTCCAAGTAAGAGATGGAAACAATTAATTCCTTTAAAGAAGTCTGCGTAGCATAAGAATTTCCATGATGTTCACATTTTCTCTTAAGCTCTCTTACTGATACTTAGTAAAAGCAGTATCAAACTTCAAATCGCTGAAACTGCTTTACACACACATATACAACATCAAAGAATTTTCCACCCACAAGTGTGCAATGTGTATTATGTTCTCCTGCATATGTTTCTAAAATAAGATTGCTGTATGGACTTTGCAACATTTCTTGAGGCATCTGTAGATTAAAAAAGAAATTTCCTGGAAGTAGTAAAACATAAGACTAGAATTACTGTCATATTTTATAAGATTTAATTCAATTAAAACTATAGAGTATTTGTTACTTACTTTCAGACACTGAAAAATACATTTGCTATCTATCCTCTGTTCTTCTACTAATGCTGCACCAAGTCACCAACAGACATACCAGTGCTTGTCAGCCAATCTTACCTGCGAGAGTCAGGCTACAGCTTTTGAAGTGAAACAATCACTCCAAAGTGCAACAATCCACTATCTATAGTGCCTTATCATAGCACAAACTTCAATGACATACATCTATCATTTTAATGTAGACAAAAGCCTTGAACTGAGATTGTATGTCTACACCACCCAGGTTCCCAGCTTTCAAAAACTGTATTAGTTTCAAACTTCATATTTACTGTATTTTAAAAAGATTGTATTTCACTTCCGCATGAAAAGGCAAGACAGCTTCTCGTGAAAAGTAACCATCAGGTAACTGGTGATAGGCCAAAATTCAGAGAAGTTTGTGGCCTCAGAAAACTGTCCTTAACTCATTTTCTTTGAATTACTCAGATGCAGAAGTTTTCTTCCTCTTCAGTGAGCTAAGACTCATTCTCTTTAATTCTCTTAATTCAAGAGAATTTAAAGATGTCTGGAGTGACTACAACATTACTGAATCCTGCAAGAATGCACATGCTTTTGGTCCCAGACTCCATGATACAAATTGATACTCGCTGAGCCAAAAAATCCCAAGCCACTTGCATTATTGTTTAGGTAGTAAAGAACGGGGAACACTAGGAAAGATTTCTAAAGTGTACTGTAGTTTCATTTAGATAAAGAAATCAGTTACTTCTACAAAAAAAGGTGGTAAAACACAGTAGAATCCTATACAAATGCTATAATACCTTGAAGGTAATTTCAGTTTGTACGTAATTATATTATTTAAACTTAAACTTCTTTTTAATTACTAAGAAGTATTTTGACTCTTATTAAGTCATGGTCAACCCTTCTAGGTAAGGCCAGTTAGAATGCCCAGGAGCTCACCTTCAAGAAGACTCACTAGGTTGGATACAACCTCAAGAGCCCATTTGTGTGAATGGTTCTGGAAGAGCTATACCTACGTCAGTCCTAATGGATGCAGGTCCAATCTGCTCTGAAGAGACATCAGTGACAGAGAGTCACAGTGTCTTCAGGCAGCCCATTACAGCTCTTCACTACTACTACCATTCAGGCCTTCCCTCATCCCCCTTGTCCACACCGAATCTTCCTTGCTGCAGTTTTTTTTTTTTTCCTATCTACCATGGATATGCAAAATAGATTGCATGTTTCGTTTCTGCAAGAGCCTTTCAAATTTTTGAAGAACACATTCTCTTCAGTCTTCTCTAAACGAAACAATTCCCATTCTTTTGGTCTGTCCCCAAAGGTCTAGCTTATTCTCATCACCCTACTTTGGACACTCTCCAACCGGTCAGTAACTTTGTTGAAACGCTGTGCCTAAAACTGAAAGCATCTTGTGTGTCATCCTCTTGTTTACACATGCCAGTCTAGCTATACTCTTTTCATACCAGCAAGACCTTGTTGGCTTACCTTTGTTTCGCTCTTACGGTAATGGAAATTGCCCACCTGTTATCTAGGATAAAAATCCAATCATTGTAGTGGGTAATCTCTATACATGCATTCTGATTTTAATTTTTGGTAACACCAGCATGGTTTTCAAAACAACCTTGCACAGATTTTGTGGAATTTTAACTTAGATCATGTTCGCCTACAGACTGTCATGAGAATCATAGAATCATAGAATGTTTTGGGTTGGAAGGGACCCCTAGAGGTCATCTAGTCCAACCCCCCTGCAGGAGCAGGGACATCGCTAACCAGATCAGGTTGCTCAGAGCCCCATCCAATCTGGCCTTGAATGCTTCCAGGGATGGGGCAACAAAAGCTTTCATACAAACAACCCAGGTGGTATCTGTCGATCTTCCCTTATCCAGAGGATTTGTAAGAAAAATGGACAGCTTTGACAAAACACACTTCATAATTCCAAGGTAATTACTATTCATCTTGGTATCTTCTACTATTCATAAAATTTGTCCACTATTTTTCTGGGAAAGTTCAACCAAATGGTAGCAATTTCCCAAATTCTTTCCTTCTGCTGCTTAATTTCTGCTCCATCATTTTCTGACTACTGTCATCGGCACTCTAAAAAGAGTAGAAACAGAGATAAAAGTACTTACAGGTTTTCTAAGAAAAAAAAGAGATAGTGCTCCAATTAGGGGCATGTCGCCAATTAGTGGTTCCAGGATAACTCTCATAGTGCCATGGATCTGTGGAAGGGGAGGAAAAAAAAGGCAACAGAATTGACTTTAGTTCAAGTTTTAAATAAAATTCACTGGCAATGCTTACACTTCTAATTCATCAAATTCTTGATTATGGAAGAGTTTTACATATATATAGCTTTACACGTCATCCAAAACCAATAAATTTAACACAGGCACTAAATAGGATTGCAAATTCATTACATTCATCTACATGATGATGCATCATGTTAGCAGTAATTTTGCTAAAAATATGAAGTAGTTTATTTATATAGCTCAATGTAAACAAATGTGGCCCAAACCAATATAATGGCATCCACAGGTACTAGAACAAAAGTAGGTAAATGCTTACAGGTATGTCAAGACACAGACAGACAGAAAAAGCATACTATTTTTCCTCATTAGATATCCGTTATCAGAAAGTTAAGAAAATTTGAGAAACAATATCGGAAGGCAAGGCTACTAATAATAATTGCATATAAACTAATAGTTGCATCTAACACTGAAATATTAAGTGAAACAAAATTTTAAGCTCCATGTTCCCTTTACAAACCTATACATCACATGGACATTGGCTTGATGAGAAATTATATCTGTCTTTTCCAGGAGAAAATGTTATAAATTTAAAACAGCTTTACATCCAAAAGGAATTTACCCTTTCAGCTAAGTCATGTTACTGAAATTATTATGCAATATCAATATTATGCAACTGAGAAAAAATAGTAAGCAACAAAACTACACAATTACTCGTTCTTTCTTATAAACAATTCCATCAGAAAATAATGAATCAGTGATGACACAATATAAAAATAATTAAAAAAAAAAAATTGAATTTCACCTGTATACTTTTCACACCAGCTCTGCAGAAGTATCTCTTGATCTCCAAATCAATTTCACAGTTTCCAACAAAACTAAAACAAAAAAGAAAGTATACATTTCATTTTTATGGACTAAACTGCAATACATTCTTAGTTTGTTTTGCACTGACAGTATGTTTTGTATCTCTGTCAATACACAAAAAATACATGTTAAAACATTATAACATATAACAAAGTCAATATTTTTAAAAAATTACATCTCCTTCAAAACATCACTACTGTCATCAAAATAACTCAAATTAATACAGAGGTACATTATCATCTTCAGAAACATACATAAGAGAAAACACACAAGTAGCCTTACTTTTGGGAAATATCAGACACAGAATTCATACCTCATTTCAGGAAAGCTCTATGTAGGTCTCATTGATAGTACATGTACTCAAATCTACTCTCATCTAATATAATCAATCATGAGAAGCGCCAGGCAAAGATGGTTATTTTGCTAAAAATCAAAGTTGCCTGAAATATTCAGACTTGCAAAACCAGTCATATTTAGAAATTCAATAAGCAGGGGATGCAAGGTTAAGGGCTTGAAATTTTGCAGATGCTGCCCTGTATCTCAGAGATAGATTTGAAGAAGATGGTTAAAAAAAAAAAAAAAAAAAAAAAAAAAAAAAGTGCCCCATCTATTTTGCCCATGCTACAAGGCTGCACACGACTCAGACTCAGATTTTAGCAGCTGCTTTTCCTGAAGCTCCATGCAGGTCAAGCATGTACCAGCAGAGTTGAACAGATCTTTTCCAAGAACGGCTCCTGCTGAAGCCACCTTGGGTCTGAAAACAAACTAATTCTGAGACTGAAGAAGGAATTTAGGAAGGAAGCTTGAAACTCTGATTTAGCAAGGGTCAATGATTCTACAGAATAAGAGCTAAAAAAACCACCTCAACAGATTGAATACCAAGCTACAGCTAGGGAGAGGCTGGCTGGACAAGGAGACTGGCTAAGAAGATAATGGGTTGTAACAAAAGGACAAATGAAATCTGAAGAGCTTTCTGAACAGACTGCCCAGTTAAAGAAAATGGAAGAAGGAACTAAGTGGGATGGAGATAAGGTAGCTTAAACAAAGTCAGACACTGCTGGGAGGGGGAAGAAATTTGTTTGCTCTACAGGGCACACTGCTCCAGATTCTGCAGTAGAGCCCAGGCCTCCTCATATTAGGGTCTTCACACTCAAACCTGTACAGTGAAAAACTCTTCAGCCATGTTTAGGAGTCGGATGGAATCTTATTACAGAAACATCTGGGAAATTATGAAGAAAACTGAGTTGCTCTCCTCATGGGGGCATTTTAGGATCAAGATAAAACAAATTAATCTCACAGTAAGAGCAGAAGAGCAGGACCCCTGCCCCCTCCCCTCTGACAACTGATGGGCACAAGGTACCATCAAAAGAAAAGAAAGGTGAAAGTTGCTGCATTCAGGATATCCATTATTCAAACCATCTGTAGCCTCCCGTGCTCTGTGTGTGATGGTGCTGTCTATGGGATTTCAAGCAAATGCCAATCTTATCAGTCCCTTAAGCAGAAATAAACAATAGTACCAAGACATTCTTGTAAACATCCAACACTGGAATTTATTTTGGACTATGCAAAAGATAGCACTATGCAGAATCGTTTTGGTACAATGACCAGTTTGGGGAACTGGAAGACAGTAACATGACAGGGGTCTATGTGAAAGGAAGGTGACCGTTGCTTTCCCTGGAAAGAATGTAGTGTGACTACAGTTTAAAAATAGGTATATAATTTTTAACACACTATTTAAAACGATGTAATTTCTATTTTTACCTATCTAACTATATATAGAGGTAGTAGAGATACATATATAAATACACACACACATATATAATTGCATAACAACATGACACAGAGAAGCAAGGTCAATTAAACCCTGCAACTGAAACCTCAATCTTGGCACTTTGTAGCATCAGAACTATCTGTGTTATGAAGACTGGGAAGCAATATGCTCGTTTGAAAATCCATAACAACATGATGACAAATTGAAGTAAAAATAGTAACAAACTGCATTTGAGGGTAATAAGTCAACAACTTTTAACCTTACAGTAAAGTTAAAGTTTTATCCCCTAAGATATTTGGCTGGGTCTATTAACATTCGCTGCGGTACAGAATTCCACCGTAACATAACATACAACCTGAAGGCTCATTTAGTAAGCAAATTCTATACATTTGGACCATAATATCCCAGAAATATTTATGGTGCCTATAATGCACAGATCACTGAGACAGATTAGTTTAATGAGGACAGTCTTGTAAGAATATAACAGCAGCTGTACTTAATCAGCTGAGAAGCAGAGTATACTATATGTGGTCATTGTAGCCCATAGAAGATACCCAGAAGAAAAACAAGCAAAGAATAGGACAAACATATTTCCCAGACTACAGTGATCTGTCATTCTGTACCTTGGACTATCTTCATTATTTTTAGAAGGTCTTTAGAATGACTTTTGATGCTGTTTTTACATCTGTCTTCTGCCAGTACAATAGTAGCGAGTTTCTCCATTCAAGTATGCCACATGAAAAAAAAAAAATCTACATGTGTTGAAATTTGCAGCCTCAAACTTTCTTATTGTGCCTCTATTTTGTGTGTCATGAGAAGGTGAAAAAACTCACTTGTATGCTATTAACAAGTATTTCCTCAATCTCTCAGTCTTTTTTGGCTTTCTTTACTACAGTTCACATATAATTTGACAGACTTTACCTTGCCTTCTGTTGGCCCATAACCTTTAATTTTCCCTAGGTGTTTACTACATTCATGCACCTTAGCAAATGTAAGATTTCTATTTATTAACAACTTATTTAGACTTTATCTTCATTTGCTCAAGTAGTTAAAATTTTTCCCCTCATACATCACCGTCACCAGAAACTAGACTTTTAAATTGTAACCTAAGTTTTGACAATTTTTTTAACTTAAAGTGCACAGTAACTAAGAGAAAGGTAAAGTGTTCCCTTTGCAAATGTGGTCCTGAAACTGGATCTTTAAATACTTTTTCCAATGACTGCCTTGTGGATTAGCTAGCTAAGCTGCTTACAAGAGTAAAGTTCTTAACAGGATCTTGAGTGATGCATAGGACCTATTTCAAAAGGTCCTGAAAAACACTCTGAAGCAATGATCATAATGCACTTGATACCCTTGCAGAAACAATAAAACCTCAATTAAACTAAAAAGCAAAACCCAAAAAAAACTCAAGGAAGATGCAAAAAATACTAAAGAAGTGTTTTGGAGACACACTGAAACTACTTAAATGTACTGTATAGAAGGTCCAAAGCAAATGCATATACCCCATCAAAAACAACCGACAGTAGAAAGGGTTAAAGGAAGCCACAATGGTGGAACAGCAGGATAAAAAGAGATTATTAAAAGAATGAATATACTTTAAACAAATTAAAAATATAAATAAAATAACATATTTCCTTCCCTCCCCCCT